TAATTATATAATATATAATATAAATCGAAAACTCTAAAATTTATTTTCTTATATATCATTTAAAGATAATTAAATAAATTAAATATAATAATTTATTTTCTTTTCTTTTAGCTTTATATATTCGGCTTATATATTTCGGAAATTTTTATATATTGTAATATCAAGCCAAATATATTGATGAAATATCGATGAAATAAATTTAGAATGATTAAAAAAAATTTTAGAAAAGCAATTATATAATTCGATTAATTTCGAGAATAACAAAATATTATTATTAATATTTAATATATCAATTTGCCATATATATATTCTTAATTTATAAATTTTTTAATTCTTAATATTTCATTATATAATTTCTAAAGTTCTTTAAGTCTTATGAAAGTTTAAAAGATTTGTTCTTTTTTATAATTTTTTTCTAATAGTTTTAATTATTTATTTTCTATAAGATTAACTTCTTTAGATTTAATTAAATTTATATTTCTTTATTATCCTTTCATATATCGATAAATATTCAAATGTTTATAATAATATAATATTTATTAAATAATATATTATTTATTTTTCATTATTTTTTTAATTTATTATTATAATAAATATCCTTAAAATTATTTTCATAAATAATCATCGAATTATTATATAATATATAAATATATAAATATATAATATATAATATATAAATATAAAATATTATAAAAAATCAGGGTTTTAATAATAATTATTTAATTATTCTTATTTATAACTTATCTAGTATATTTTATAAATAAGAAATAATAATATATATAGAATACTAATATATAAATCTTTTATTATTTATCTTAAATCTTATATATTACTTTTATAAATTATAGAAAATATAAATTATTTAGGTTTTTATTTATTAATAATTTTCTAGAAATAATACTATTATTTATTAATAGTTTTTCTTTTATAATTTAATTAATTAGATATTTTATATATTAATTATTTTAATCTTATTTTTATTATCTATTATAATATCTATTTGTTTTTAATATATATAAATCTTTTTATATTTTTAAATAATTCTTCTATTATTTCTATTATTTATTTTAATTTTTTTAATTTTTATTTTATAAGATTCAAATTATAAACTTTTTCTTTTACTAAAATACTAGATAATATTAATTACTTTATTATATTTTTAACTTTTTCTTATATATATTTTATAGATAATATAATTAGTATATTATTTATTATTATTTATATTTATTTATATATATATATATATAATACTTTTTTTTATATATAAATTATTAATAATATAGCCTAATTAGTCTAGTTCTTAATAAAAAGAAAAGTATAAAATAATAAAATAGTAAATATAAAAAGAGAAAAAGAAAGAATTAGTAAAGATTATTAAATTAGAAAGATTAGAAGAAATAATATATAAGTTTATTATCTTATTTATTTCTAAAATTATTTGTATTTCTTTATTTTTAAAAGTACTATTTTTAGTTCGAAAGAAATTAGTCCTGTTTTCTTAAAAGAATTTCGTATAATTATATAGCTATTAAATATCTTATTCTAAAATCTCTAGAATATTATAAAAAATATTTTTTTATTTATTATCTTTATATTTATAAAAATCTTTTAATATAATTTAACTTAGAACTAATATTTTAAAGCTTAGAAAACGGCTATATTAAGAGATTAAAAAAGGTAAATAGTAATATAGAAAGCTTAAATAGTTATATATAATACTTCTAATAATAGTCTAAGAATTTATAACTAATATAAAAGCTATAGCTATTAAAAATCAAGATATAATATTTACTGAATTTAGAAAAGAAATAGAATTTATTAAAATACTTAATATAATATATTTCAAGCTAATAATTAGTAAATTTTATAAGAAATTATATAAAGAATATATTCTTATTAAACTGGTTTTTAAAATATTTCTATAAGTAATATATTTCTTTAAAAATAATAATTATTAGAATCTTAATTCTTCTATAATTAGTTATAGCTATTATTATTATAAGCTCTCGATTTTCTGGATTTATATTATATATAGTTTTATAATTATAAGAAATATAAATTTAATTACTAGTAATTATTCTAATTTGGAACTTATTTTTATTAAAGTTAGATATATTATAATTCTTTATATTATATCTTCTTTTATATTAATTAAATTCTTGAAAATGCCTCTTAATATCCTCTATAATATATATAGCTAATTATTTTATAAATAAAGGCTTCTCTTATATTAATTTGAGGAATTTGGCTTACTGGACTATTTATATATTAGTTTTATTAAATTAAAACTAATAAATTAGGATCTTTAGAACTCTAAAAAAGGAGCCTTTCTATAGCTATATAAATCTCGTATATATTAGCCCTATAGCCGGAATATTAGAGTATAAGAATATACTTCTTTAGGGTATTATCTTATAGTACGGAGAGCTTTTTATTCTGTCCCCTTTGCAAGTAGCTAGATGAACGCCTATATCGACGAGCTATTAGACGTTTATATAGGGCCCCAAATTACTTTGTAGCCTTCGTACCTCTCAGATAAGGATTATTATCCATTGCATGAGAGGCTTTAGCTATGCGCTCCTCGATTTCATGTGGTTCGGGTGGCATTTTGGTGATTTTGGTGGAGTGATGTGTGGAAGTGGGGTAAAAAATTTGCGTATCGGTGTTCTGTGCGTATTGCTATCCCTCACCTACAAGGCGTGCTAGGCGAATTGTAGGTGGGAACCGCCGAACGATTACAGGGGTTGGAGGCCTCGGTAACGCTGCGTATTCTCTATCGCAGACTAATGGGCATTTTTCTAAAGACGCGTGGAGGCACGACAGCCCTGCATCTGGCCCACTCAGCGAATGAGATGTGACCGAAGACAGACACTGGGCGCTTCCGGGATGCTTCCGACCACCAAGACCTCATATTTGGTCCACTCAGCAAACAAGGTTGACCGAGGGCAGGCGCAGGGCGCGCCATGTGCTCGGTCTTCTAAGCGAGGTGTCAGGTGAGAGTGGGATCATCATGGAAGTCTGGACCTGTCTATTCACTCTTAAATGAACGAAAACTAGATAGTCAAGAAAATAAGTTCCCTCAGGGCGTCTTTTCACATATAACAAAAAAGGAGTGAACAGTGGACTGAGCCCCTAGCTCCAGTGCAAGTGGGACACTAGCAAGCCCCTTTCCAATACCTCTTCAGAGCTGAGAAGCCAAGAACTCCGGGACCTTTAACGCCATAGATAGCTAGGAAAGGAAATCAAACAATCGCGGTATCAAGGTCAATGAGCCCGTCCTCACTCGAAGGAACACGCACCTCTTCCCAGCTGTCATCGCTCACATCCTCGATTTCCGCCTCAGGTTCACTTTCACTCTCCTCCTTCGCCTCAACAACCACTTGGAAGCCTTGGCATATTCTATCTTTCTCTCTTATTGTCTCCATTAGCTGCTCACAGGCGTCCACGAAGGCTTGTTTCTGTCCTGTTGTGTGATCATCCCCTGACATGGCTCGTCCAAGAGTGAGTGACACAGCGAAATATTCCAGTATCTTCGAACAGAGGGACAAAAGTGCAGATTGGTAATCGGATTCAAGTGACAATGCGCCGCCAGATTGTTGGTACAGGTTCTCCATCACGGCGTAGCGCGCTATGGTGGCGACGATGTCTTGAAATTGAGGGAAAGCCTTATTTGTCCAATCAATCGCTTCCGGGGGAATAAAGTTCTTCTCCAGGATGCGTTCGTAAACCTGCGGATGTTAGATATTTTGAAAGAGAGGTGGTAGAGTTGTTAGTGCTTACATGTAGAAAGATACACACACAACTCCATCCGAATGTCGCGACTTGGAGGCCCAATTGCTCGTCGATAGTAGACATAATACGTAGGACATTGGACCTGATCTCTAAGATTTCGTTCAAGTCCTCAGCTTGGTGCCTGTGGTGATGGTTTCTTCTTCCAAGACGTTCGATATCGGACGAAATCTGCTTGCAAATTTTCTCATCGTCAAGGGGGAAGTTGGTCAGGAAACCAAGTTCAGTTGAAAACTCAAAACGCGGGACCTCAAAAGCTGGGAAATTCGAACGTAATGTTGAGGCAAATGACCGCCACCAAAGCTTGCTATCCTGCGATAGTGAAAGAGATAGGCACACGTCTGGGCGAGAGCTTGCGTGCTGTGTTGGTGGAGGTGGGCACACTGAAATTGTTGGTGGCAATCCTGTGAAGGAGTTGATCGCAAGGGGAGGAAGAAGATTTCGTTTTGGCTTATCACCCGATGGAGAAGCCGCAAAGGTTTGATGTGGTCCAGTCCTTGCATATCCAAGTACTCGGCGATATGGGCTCGCACTCATAACTATGCCGTGAAATTCGGAATCTGTTTTTCCAATCATCGAAGACGCCTCATCAGATGGTGCAGAGAGCCTTTCGATGCTTCTTTTAGCCTCCTTCCCTTCCTCTCTTGCTTCTCTCTCTGTCGCCTCCCTCTCCCTCTCCTTTCGGCGTGCGCGAAATCGCGCTGAAGCTCCTGCGTTGCGAGCTCGCTTCTCGTCAAATGATCGTGAGGATGTAATTACATCAACCGGGACATTATACGGCCCTGTGGAAGTGGCAATGGGGTGTAGTTCAGAAGACAGAAGCTGAGTGGCACATTGGGATGGCGAGGAACTGAGTGGCACTCCCATTGGCGGTCCTGGGAGTTTCTCGCCATTTCTGTTAGCTCCACGCTCCATTGCCTCCTTATCTTTCTGTCTTCGGCGTTCACGAAATCTCGCTGAAGCCGAAGCCGCTGGACTCCGGGCACGCCTTTCGACAGGTAGCCGTGATGCACGATGCACATCCGCTGGGATAGTATAGCTTCCTGAAGACGCGCTAAAAGCCGAAACTTGAAGCGGTGCAAGGCCTTTCTCACTTTGAGTTCGGCTTCCTGGCAACGTAGAAATGGGACTCGCGACCGAGCCAAACGCTTGTGCCGCAGAATCTATCGTCTCGTTATTCCTGGGTTGTTCGTTCAACGCGTCCGAATGAACTGCCTCTGGTTTCCGGGCGGGAGATTCATCTTCTAGTGACTGTCTAGCCGCACGACGTCGCAAGATTCGATGAAATTGTTTGGCATTGACGTAGACTGGAGGTTCCTCTTCAGGAGGCGAAATAGTAGTCTGACCATTATATGCTTTTCCATGTCGCTGGTTGCGAGAATAGGGAGCACCTGGAAGTCCGGCATTGATAGGGACACCGAATCCCGATGCATCTTCGTTCTGGTGAAGAAAAGAATCGAAATCGAAGTCTTGAAGTACGTCGAGCTTGGAATCAGGATTCGGTTCAACGGCTCCACGGTTAAAAGTCTGGAACTCGGAGTCTTGAAGAATGGGATTGAATACTGGATAGTCTTGCGAAACCCTCGCTTGGGTGGTTGGGGAATGAGGAGGGAGATTTGGCAGGACGAAAGGCTCTGTCTGCGGAACAGAATGTATTGGAGTTGACGTTGAAGGGGGAATGGTGTCCCTGTTGGCGATAGAATTGTCAAATCGTTTAAAAGTATAGCCAATGAAGGGAAGCGATAATTCTGGTCCATTATTCTCAAGGCAGCAAAAATGGTGTAGTGCTGGTCGTTCATCCGACGACGAATCTGATTTCGCAATTCTCTTTCCTGATACCTCCAAGGTTGGAGGCTGCGGAACGGCCGGTTTCTCCCCAATATTCAAGTCCCATCCTTGAAACCGTCGCCCAGTCCCAGGAGATGGAATAGGATGCTCGTCGGTGGCCGCTGGGAGCTCCACTAAGAGTTCATGGTCGAAAAGTCCTTTTTGGGATGGCACGAGCCGCTCGAGATACACGAGAATTTGGCGGGAACAATTCTCCGAACACTTGCAAAGAGCTTCGAAGCCCGATTCTAGGAGGTCCTCATGTTCAGCGGAATACACATGCAGTCTCATCACAACTTCTCGCATGATGGTCAAACTAATGTCTTGCAGCTTGGCGGAAACTGGGACACATGTAAGTGTTTGAGCAACTTCCAATGAAGAGGAGACTTACCTTTCGATGTGAATCTCTCGATGTAAACCTGCCCATACTTTTTGAAATTTGCAATATGCTTTCCGTCAATCTCTTTGCTGCGATCGTACAATGAATCCTGGAGGTCCTTTGCTGCGACATAAACTTGTCCGCCCTTTTCTGGCATCCGTCTTTCAATTAGACTGTGAAGAATATGAAGGGCCGTGCGAAAAGAATGCGTCACTGCTTGAACTGCTTTGACTTGACGTGCTATATTAATATTCGCCTCTTGCAACGATATTGCGCTCTTGAAGCTCTCTGTTGATGACGAGGACTTGATACTTTTTTGTTCCACTTCCGAAATCGCATTCCTGATGGTTAAAGTTGGGTTATCTTGTTCCGTAGCTTGCGAAGATGCCATTTCTGCTGTCGATGGCAGCACCACAAAGCCCTGAGCGATATTGAATACATGCGAGAGCGTTGGGGTGTTGGACTTAATGCTTCCTGATGCCGCGTGAGCAGAAACTGAGGTCGACATACTTTCAAGCTCGGCGGCACCTCGATACTGATTTGAATTCGATTGAGGTTTCGTGATGCTTCGTGGAGAGATGAATGGTTCTGGTTCTGGGCTTTCACTGTACTTCGGCAGAAACTTTGCTGCTTCAACGGCCTCTTTGGCTTCCTTCAAAGTCTTGATTGTCTCAGGCTGCAACGGTTTGTCCACCAGCCGTTGGATCTTGCTGGAACTCGAGATGTTCCTGGAACCTCATTAGCTGCTCTGGGCAATGGCACTACTCATATACTTACAGCAAAGAAAGTTGCAAATCGACTTGAAGGCTCATCAAAATCGTAGCCAAGGTCCCTTTCAAGTCTCGGAGCTGCCTTATCAACTTTTTGATCTGTTCCTCCTTGTAGACAAACTTCACTCGGAGTCTCCGCGTGCTGTTTCCGTTGCTGCCTAGCTTCGCCAAAATCTTGTCAATCTTGACGTACAGCTCAGCGCAATCTTTGATGATCCTCGCCGTCAGCAGATAGATGTCGTCCGAGTACCACGACTTGGAGTCCTCGAGCAGTCGTGAGAGGATAGTCAAGGACTGCGAAAATGTTTTAAGGTCCTGAGCTAGCACTTGGATGTCTTCCGAGGCTGAGGCCGCAGCAGCCCCCAGTGAATAGAGATTCTTAGATAAGGACAATGCTGTGTTGGCGAGTTGCACGACACTTGCCACGGCACCAATGGCTGTGAGTGGATCCGTATTGGTTGCCGGGCTGTCTGAAAGACGGGCGAACAACCCCTCACTGGCTCAAACTAGGACATTTATCTCAAGGTGGAGATGATCAGGCTCCAAAGACTGGGGATGGTGTGCTTTTGAGAAGGCTCCACCCGCTCAGACACCTAGACTGCATGATCTGCCAGGATCCCAAGCAGGGCGTTTCGGATGCACATCACGTGCTGATAATCTCTTTAGGAGCCAAGCTTGATAGAGGCTGGATAATATTATCCTTTGTGGACTATAGAGTATAGAATAGCAAAAATGAACATCGAATGAGAAGGGTGTCGTCCAGCGAGACCCCTGCTATCACGTGAGCCGGGCATATAGGTCTAGTAACCGAAACAGAAAAGCGAAGGCGGTGAAGATTGGCAGATTGACTGCAAAATAAATTTCGGAAAGCTTCACCAGCAATGTCTTGGGAGGTCTTCGTGACCTCGAATTAAACCAAAAATGGGCAGCAAACGTAAACGCACGGCGCACGATGCTTCTGCGGGCGCACCTGATCCCAAGAAACAACAGAAGAATATCGAAACGACGTCGTCAAAATCATCCTCGAAACCTTCGACCGTACCAACTCCTCTCGATACCTCTGCGTTCGTCGACAACCCGAAAGGCGCAGTTCTGAAAAGAGAAGTTCAACTTTATGATATTCTAAGCAGCGAAGATAGTTCGGAACGACTTAATGCCGCCAATGCCATTGTTGAGGGTTTGCTGGGAGGGAATGGTGTGGCAGAGTCAACGCTGCAGCGACATCTTGAGCGAAGATTGTTTCGCGGACTGGCAAGTGGCAGGAAGGGTGCGAGATTGGGGTTCAGCGTTGTTCTGACAGAACTATTGGCACAGCTGTTGGGCGAGAAGGATCTTGCAGCCCAGAAGTACACGGGCTTGACGTTCGAAAAAGTCCTTGGGTTTCTGGTTGCGAAGACGAAACCAGACGGAGACCTTAGCGGGCAGGAAGAGAAAGACCATTTCCTAGGGTTGTTATTTGGTCTACAAAGTTTTGTGCGAGCGAAGGTCCTGTTTGGAGACGGTGAGGACGACAATCGATGGGACACTATTCTGGGAAAGTTATTGGAGCTCGCAAAGAAGAAACCATGGATTCGAGAGGAATGTGGCTGGGTCATTGTCGAAGCGCTTGCGCAAATGAACCAGAGCCAAGCAGAACATACTTTGGAATCATTACATGATACTGGACTGGCGCAGTCTCCTGAGGGCGTTGGCATTTGGCTCACGGCAAAGAATCACTTTTCAGACATGAAGTTTCCTACTAAGCCCTGGGGTCAAAGCGGAAATCCACTGGAACATCTGAAATCTCTTGCAAAGGCATTGAAGGAGAGCTCGAATGAGGATGAGTCGGACAAGACCAAGCAAGCAAAACAAACTGGCAATTGGAACCCACAGCTCCACTTTGTGTGGAAGGTTGTGTTGGCACAGTATGCAGCTGCAGCGAAAGAGAAGAAGCATGGTATAAAGTCGGAGTTTGAGAACTTCTGGAAAGTGGCTGTAGATGGTCAGGACCCGTTTGGCGAATTGAATTTATAGGCTAATGTGTTCCAGAAAATCTCTTCTCTGCGAGTGCCTCCAGAGAGCGCAAATTCTGGGGATTTTTACTCTTCCAGCATGTTCTCCAAGAATCGGCAACATACGGCAAACTCATCTCGAGTATCTTTAGCCACAATCTTGTGCGCTGTTTGATCAATCACGTTCAGGAGAAGGATCGATTCCTGAATCGTGCGGCAGACAAGTCCTTGAAAATTCTGATTCGGAGTGTGGAGACTGACCCGAAACTTCTTGTTATCATCCTTCCGCGTATTATTGGAGGATATGGAACCTACAATTTCGATAAGATCACGAAGACCAAGACCGTTGAGAAGCTGTTAGGTTTGACGGACGATAAAAATGCAATTGCTGTGATCAAGGCGCTACTGGAACCAGCTTTGTCTGTTGACGGGTAAGTAGTGGTAATCTCAAAGTTGTCAATGCTGACAAAACCAGAGCCGACCCCGAAGTCAACAAGGAAGCAGAAATGCGGCGACAGCTCCTTGGTGACTACTTGCTGAATATGATTCGTAAAGTCAATGTCCTGGACGAATCTAAAGACATCTCTTGGATTGAAGAACAAGCACTGCCATTACTTGCAAAATTCGGATATGGCCAAGAATCCGAATTTCAGCCATCATTGTCTGGCAAGACCCGAACGATTTTTCGCAATCGACTCACGTCAGCCTTCGCTCATCTCCTGGCTGATTTGAAAGGATATTCATTTCCGTGCAATCTACTTCATAGCTTTTCCCCGGATGCCGTGGAAATGGACAATGGCATAGTTGGTGCCAAAGACCAAGCGATTTCCACCTTGGAGAAGATTCTTATGAAGATCGAGAAAGCAAAGCCTGAGAAGAAGGCACCGCTACAGGCATTGACTCTCTTGTACTCTCTGGTCATCTTCCAGCTTTACAATGGTGAGCCTGAAGCAGTAACTATCCTCGAGGAACTGAAACACTGCTACGACAAACTCATCCGCCACAAGGATACCGAGAGTTCTGATGCAGATGCTTCGGAAGTACTAGTAGAGCTTCTGCTCTCATTTATCTCGAAGCCATCAGCATTACTGCGAAAAGTAACGCAACATGTGTTCGGTGCATTTATGACAGAGATGACAGCCGGTGGCTTGAAACTTATGACCGATGTCCTCGAACCTGATGAGAGTTTGAGAGGCCAGCAACAATTATTTGATCAAGAACCAGAGGATGGAGATTTTATGGAGGAAGGCAGTGATGATGAGTTAGATTCAGATGTTAAGGTTGTGGATATGAACGGTGATGAAGGACATCTAAACAGCCACTTGGCCGAGGAAGACTCAGAAGACGGCGATGATGACGGGGAAGCCGAATCAGACAACGAAGGAGAAGATGACGAAGAAGCCAAAAAGCTCGACGAAGCTCTTGCCAAGGCCCTCGGGACTCGCGTTCTCCAACAAGGTGACGAAGAATCAGACAGCGATGCCGACATGACCGACTCCGAAATGATGGCCCTCGACTCCAAGCTTGTGGAAATCTTCTCTCAACGCAAGAAAGTCCCAAACAAGAAACAAGAACAGAAAGACGCAAAGGAAACAGTGGTCAACTTCAAGTCCCGCGTTCTCGACCTCTTGGAGATCTACGTTAAGAAGCAAGCCGCTAATCACTTGGCGTTCAACTTATTGCTTCCGCTGTTGCAGTTGATCCGCATGACGAAAACGAAGCAGCTGGCGGAGAAAGCACACAACATCATCCTCGCTTTCTCCAAAGCCTCCCGAGCAGCCAAGAAGTCTGAGGATGCGCTATCGGTGAACATCTCCGAGCAAACAAAACTCCTGAAAGCCATCCACCTCGAAGCATCGAAAGACCCATCGCATATGTTTGCTAAAGCAGCCAGCAGCGCAAGCCTACTTGTTGCGTCAAGCATGTACAAAGTTGATAAGGGAAGCGTCAAGAAGATTGCGGGTGTGTATCGGGACAGCCAGGTTGCGTGGGTGGCGGGTGAGGTCAAGATGCAGGCTGCGTTCTTTGTGGAGTGGGTCAATTGGTGTCAGAGTCATGCCAACCCATCTAGCTCATGATCCGAAAGGATCGCTGTAGAGAAATAAAATTCATGAATCTTGATACCCATACAAACACCCAACCCCTCAGCGAGACCATGAGAGGAATGTTGTAATTGTCTCACTCCTTACATAGGGCATCAAAAACAGATAATTTAAGAGGGATTTGTTTCAATTCAAATATTGAAAGCCATCGTCTACACATAAATTTAGCGACTGAATTCCCTTAGACTCAGGATTAATTTTCCCTCTCGCTGCTTCCGTTTTAGTCTGCGGACGTGAGCAACTGCTGCTTTAACCTAAGCTGAGGGTGAGCATACCTGAGCTGAGGGTGAGCAGAGCCTGAGCTGAGCCCAAGCAAAGCCTGAGTATCCTGAGCACGTCTGAGTCAGGCCTGCATACTATAATATAGGACCTATTTTGGCCTCCTGCATACTCGGCTATAGTTTCCTTACTGAATTTTTGCCCCGGGAATCGGTTTCTGCTCTATTTCAGGTTCTTACCGGAGTAGATTTTAGATCCCTCTTATTAAAGAGCTTAAATAAGAATTACTAAAGCTCTTATATTATAAGAGTAGTTAAGTAATAATAATAATATATATATATATAAGCAAAATAAATTAAATAGGCTCTTTTTAGCTAAACTCTTAGTTTATTCTAATATAAATTATATAGGATTAAAAGAAATAGTATTTAAGGCAAGAAATTAAATATATAATAAAATACTATTAAATAAATAAAAGAGTTAATATTAGAAAAATAAAATATAAAAAGTATTAATTAATATAATATCTTATATACTAAACTAAATAAATTTCCTCTATTTTCTATAAATACTATTTAAAGTTTTAATTAATATTAGAAAGTCTAAATAAACTTAATTAAAATAGCTAATATAAAGAAATTTTAATATAGTATTAAAATAAAGAAAAGAACTAGTAAATAAATTTTATAAAAAGAAAATAGTTTTAATATTAGTTTAAATTTAATTAATTTAATTTATATTAATATAAATAGTTATTAATATATTATTAGTTTATTATATTCGAGAAGTATTTATTTAAAAAATAATATATCTAATTTCTTATATAAGCTCTATTATAAATTAGTTTATTTAATTAATTCTAAAAACGATTTTAATAGTTTTTAAAAAATAGTCTTTTAATTAATATTATTTTACTATTAATATTTTAGTTTATATTACTAAAAATATATTAATTAGCTCTAAGAAATAATCTATAATAAAAGCCTTATAATTATAAATAATATAATCTTATATATTTATTTCTTAAATTTCTCGTAAAAATAAATATTTCTTTATTTTATAATACTTTTTATTTTAGATTTAATATTAGCTAAAATAGTACTATTAGTAACTTTAATTAAAAGTTTTTAAAAACTATTTTCTTATATATATAAGATATATTTATAATTATATTCGCGATTTTATTTCTCGATATTTTTAATAGAAATACTATAGCTAAATGGGCTATTTTTTAATAGAAGTAAATATTTGAATTAAATATAATATTAGTATTATTAATAATAAAAAACTCATAAGCTTATTTTATTTAGTTTTTATATTAGATAATCTTTTTTAAACTAGTAATAAAAAAAATAAAAATATAGTATTTATTTTAAATTAATATTATTTTAGGTATTATTTAATAAATATAAAATTAAATAATTAAATAAGTTTAATAAAATAACTAGCTAAAAGTATTCTTTTTTAAAATAAATTCTAGTAATAAAATATTATAATATTTTCTTTAATTTATAAATTAAGCTATTTTATTTATATTAGATTAAACTAATAATATCTTTTAATATTAGTAATTATAATATATTAAAAGTAATAGAAATTACTAATATTATAAATTTTATTAATTCTAATTATTAATATAACTATTTTTTTTAGAAGTTATATATATAGTTATAAAATTCAGAAAACGAGATATAAATAATAAAATATAAAATATAAAATATAAAATACAAGATATAATTATATAATTTTATATTTTATAAATTATTCGATTAGTAAACTAGATTTTATTAGGCTTAATAAATTTAGGAATTATATATTAATATTATAATACTATAATTCTTATTTCTAAATATTAATTATTTTATTAATTTAATATATCTATATTTTATATATCTTATATAATAGTATTATATATTACTAGTAAATTAATATTAATTAGTTTATATATATAAATTAGAAAATAGAATTTTTTAAGCTAAAGAAATATCTAATAGCCTATAATAAAATTAATCTAGTTTATATTAAAAGAGGGAATTATTTATTAATTCTATAAAGTATCTAGTAGCCTAAAAAAGAAAATAAATAGCTAGCTTTTATTAAGAACTAATAACTATTTTATTAAAAAAAGAAATTATTTATTAATTTTATAAAAAAGTATCCGGTAGCCTAAAAAAAAACTAACTCTAGTTTTTATTAATTAATAAATAGTTATCTATTTAACTATTTAACTATTTAACTATTTAACTATTTAACTATTTAACTATTTAATTATTTACTATTTTTTAAAACTAATTTCTTTTAGTCCTAAAACTATTTTCTTGGAAATTATCTTTTCTATTTATATAATATTCGAATTTACGAGATCCTTTCTCCGAAATATATATCTTATATATACTTTTAAAGTTCTTTAATTATAACTTTGATTTTATTATTAAATTGAGTTCTTTAAAGCTTTAGAATTTCTCGGAATTATAATATTTCACTTTTTAAATTTCTTATTATAAATGAAATTTTTAAGAGCGAAATATTTATTTCAATATTTATTTTAATACCTTTAATAAGTATCTGAATATTTAGGTATTTGGGTATTTGAATATTTCTATTAAATATCTAGATATCTGAATATCTAAATATCTTTACTAAATATCTAAATATCTGAATATCTAAATATCTAAATATCTAAATATCTAAATATCTAAATATCTAAATATCTAAATATTTAAATATTTAAATATCTAAATATCTAAATACCTTTATTATTAAATTCTTTTTATAAACTTATTACGAATTACCTTATCTTTAAATTCCTTTTAATATAAATTATATATATATATATATATATTAGAAAAGGCTTAGCCTTAAAAATTTAATATAATAGAATTATAAAATAAATATATATAAATAAAAAAGTAAAAAAGTAATATTAATCTAATTATTTATAATAATAAGGAAGTTCTAGACTATTTTAATATTAGACTATTCTAGTATAAGGTAAAGAAATTAACTAATAATAATTACTAGAAATTATTTAAAAATAATTTTAATAATTTTGATTTTAAAGTACTTAATTAATTAGATTAATTATAAGCTATCTTATAATACAGCGGTATTTATATTAAATATAATAATAAAGAACTTATTATTATATAGTTCTTAGCTAATACTATTTAGAAAAAAAATATTTAAATTATAACTAATATTATTATTACTAAACTAAATCTTAATATAGGTCTTATTACTTTCTTATATATATCTTTTAATAATAATATTATAATAAATTAATATATTAAACTAATTATTACTTATATTTCTTTATTATCTATAATTACTTTTACTAGTATTAGATTATAGAAAGCTAGTAATAATAGATTTCTATTACTTTTTTTTTTTAAATAGCTTTCTTATTATAAAGCTAATTAGAGAAATAGTAAAAATATATATTAAAATATAGAAATATAATAGAATTAATAATAGTTTTAATTAAATTTTTTTTTTAATATTTACTAATATATAAAGCTTTTATAAAAGATATTAATAAAAGCTTTCTCTATTATATTAAATAAACTAATATAAAATTACTTTTATAATAACTAGTTCTTTTAATATATATATAAAAATACTTATATAAATATTTATAACTTTTTTAAAAGCTCTAATTTCTAATATTAAAACTTAGATAAATAGAATATTATTATTATAATAATTATAATAGCTTAATATCCCGAAAAGATAATATTTGAATTCATTTAATTATTAATTAATAATTTATATAAATTATAATATAGACTAATACTTGCTTTATAAAATACTAAATTCTTATATAATAAAATTATTATTTCTTATTAAGATATACTAGTATATTAATATATAGTTTCGAATTCTTTTTCTAATTTTGTTTAATTTATTAATAAGTTCTAATTATTTATTATTACTTATAAAAAAAAGTAATAGATTAATACCGAAGTTCTTTTTATTAATTAATAATATTATTTAAGAAAATAATTAAATAATTATTTATTCGAAAATTATTAATCTAATTCTAATTATAATTATAGCTTTTAAAATAGTTATTTAAATAGCTATAAGTTCTATAATTATAATAATTATTCGAATAAATTATATTTTATATATAAAAGATTCGAATACTATTTCTAGAAATATATATTAGAGAAATAAGAAACTAAAAAAACTTGGTTTAGAACCCGAAATCTTTATTAATTTAATAAAAAGTTTAATAATAGTTATTTATAACTAGTAGCTAAAATTAAAAGAGAAAAATATTATAAAAATAACAAAAATAATAATAAAAAGAATTATTTAGGTAATACTTTTAAGGCTTTTCTAATATTAATAAATAAAATAAAGAATTAGTATTTAAATTTCTATTTTATTTTAGTTAAAAGCCTTTTAGCTATTTCTATTATATTAATAACTATAACTAATATTCTTATAAATAATTTTAGTTTTCTTTTCTTTTATATATTAATTAATAAATAAAAATTATATCTTGAAATCTAATAAATTATTAATAGAACTAATAATAAAAAATATTTCTAGATATAATATCTATTACTTTTATAAAATTATAATTAATATTAGAACTTTTAAATTCTTAATTACTAATTCTAATTAATTCTAAGCTTTATAATAAACTAATAATAATATTAAACTTAATAAAACTATTAAAAATTAAATTAATATCTAGTTTAGTATTAAATTCATATTTTCTATTAGATTTATAATAGTAAAAATACTAATTAGGTAAATATAATTCTATATTATATTTATAAAAACTCTATTTTTATT